GGAGATTGATGAGTGTGGCCGCTCCTCAAAGATGATGATGCAGTAAGAGAGAAATGGTTCGCTGTCTTTCGAAATTTGGAATGATATTGAGAAACGTTTTTGAGCAGAGATGGATAAGCGGGCTCCCTCCCCAAATTATGAAACAAAAGGCGGAGGGTGCAGCTCCGGGGAGCTCAGGCATGTGCTTGGCAATGAAAGTATGAGCTGACGGTGCACATCTGCACTCAGGGAGTCGATGGGCTGATGAGTGGAGTAGTTTTAGTCTACAGCTGACTCAGGTCTTGGTGCACAGGCTGCTGTTCGGACTTGCTGGCCTGCCTGGTCATCGTGTTAATGGAGCGTGATTGAAAGAGTGCCCTTTGTTCTTAAAGGCACTGGGTTTACAAGGAGATGGATTTGGATAGTGGGGGGGGATCTGGTCCTGATTCCATTCATCATATTAGACAGGTGCTCTGCCTCTGTCATGACTGAATCCCACTGGCTGCTGATCTGACTTGCCGGTTGCCCTGGAGATTGAAAGATGGCCTTTGTCATTCTTAAACAACCCGTATGTTGTTTCCAAGCCATTTCTTTAAGACGCGGCTGCATGCGCGTCGCATCTGGCGGGATGGACCGGTTCACAAAAGATACATCTAGGCAAATTGATTCGCAATTTCGCATGCACGACCCGTTTTGCCTACATGTATCTATTACGAATCGGCGTGCTGGGTTCATCCCACCACACGTGGCGCGCAGGCAGCCACTTTATTAGAAAACTGGCTTGGAAATGTGCTGGCCGTGGTTTAAGAGCACTGGTTTTGCAGGGAGGGAGGGTGATTTGGGTAGTCGGGGCTTCTCATTCTGAGGCATCCTTTTCACACAGCTGTTCTGTCGCTGTCAAAACTGAAGCAGCACACACGAGGAGTCGATAAAGCAGTGCAAGGTTGTTATTCTGTGTCATCCATTTCACGCACGCTGCTCTGTCGTTGTGAAGACTGAAAGGACACAATGAGGAGTCGTCGACAAAGCAGTGCAATGAGCACAACGAGGGTTTTACTGCTCTGGCTTCTACACCTGCGGGTGCTGCTACTTGAGTTTTTTGCGGTAGATTTTAGGCCTGGCTAAGCGGTAGATTTTAGGCCTTGCAGGTTGAACATGAGATATTATGTTGATTTCTGATTGAATCTGTAACTTTTTCGACTCCATATCTTTCAGTGAATGATGAGGTGCATTGATGACACAAGTTGATTGTCTCATCCATCAAATGTGGTCTGATAAGTTATTAGAGATTAAAAAATGTAGACTGCTCTAGCTAAATATGAAACAAAAAAAAAAAAAAGAAACTTTCAACGTGCTGGTCTTCAATCTCTGCAAAACTTCGCCTAGTCAGAAGGCAGAGACGTTTTTGCCCCCCCTTTTCCAAATTTGCATTGACAAGTCACAGTGCAGAGCAGCATGGGTGGTTGCACCTGCAGACCACCTGCTTGTAGGGAGGCAGGTGTAGGATGATGCTAGAAGTCATATTGTTATGCCTGTTGGAAGAGAGGCTGTGCAGTGGCAGCAGCAAGATGGCAAGGAAAAGAGAATAGCTGCAGCAGAACTACTGTCTTCGCCCGAATATAGCGCACAGTCATTATAGCTGTATTTGGGGCTTTTTTTCAGTCCAGATGCAGCGATAATGACCGGGCGTTCTATTCGGGCGAAGACGGTAGCCACTTGCATGGAGTGAAGTGATATGGATAATTTGGCACAAGTGGTGAGGCAGCCACGGCAATGACAACAGGAGCAGGACTTGTGATGCATGCCGGGGGTAAAATCTGAGTATGCCCAAGAACGAAGGCTGAATCCAGTGAGGGGAATAACTTAGCGGAAGTGTCAAATGTCAGTCCACACACAACGAGCATCCAGAAGGAAAGATCGCTTCTCATGTGGAGGTAGTAGGAGGCTGACATTGGCTGTGTAGTGAATGTGAGGAGTTGGGGTGGTGGTAAATGGAAGTGACCTCCCAGGTTGGCAATAATCGTGGCCGAAATCAAGGGGGGAGGAGAAGGAGGTGGAGACATGGAAGAACCTTTCCTCGATGAAAATCGTCCTGGAATTGCCAACGCAGAGCACATCTGAAATGAATAATCTGGAGCCTTTGTCCTAACCGCTCCTCCTGCTCAAAATAACATGCTGCAACTCAAAATCTCTCTCTCAACGATACAACAGAACTCTCCCTCCCTCCCTCCCTCCCTCCCTCCCTCCGTCCCTCCGTCCGTCCCTCCATCCCTCCCTCTGTCCCTCCCTCCCACCCTCTTCCAGCCACTTCCCTCCCCATCAAATAAGAACGAACTGTTGCCTCTGTGAAGCTGCAGCACTGGAGGTGTGTTTGGGACTCTATGTCCCCAAACCCCTATCACGACCCTTTTTCTCTCCCTGCAGAGCTCGTGACGGCTGCCTCTCCTTCTACTCCCCAGCAGCGCCTCTTTCTCTGATCACCGGTCTCCCCTACTTGACATTCCAGTGCCGGGCCCAAATGCCAGACGTCAGCAGCCTGTCAACCTCCAACTAGTGAGAACTGAGTGCAGAGTCAGGCCCAGCCACAGAGTATGCACTGAGCCTGGGCATCCCTCTCCCTGGTCTGATCGTCTAGGACTGCCCAGAACTAACATGATTTATGGTCGAGGTGGATGGACCTACTTGTGGGTCGTTGGCGCTTGGAATGTTGTCGGGGCATTGGTGATGCTGAAGTGCACTCAAGGTTCCATACTGTGTGGTTTACGAGGATTGGTACCATCCATCAGGGTGAACGCGAATCTGGTGCCAGGCTGATTTTAGGTCATGTTTCAGAGAGAACGGGCATGACCCCATCCCTGAAGAAGATTGTTGGTATTCAGCCTCCTGATGAGTCGGTGAATCGCCAATGAAACGGTTTGTCACAGCCCCTTGTTTGTTGTCCTCGTCTCCCTCCCGCTCTGCCTACGGTTTATCGGGCAGTTCGGTTTTGACGATATATAAGTGGAGCTGCGTTCTTAATGGTTTGAGCCTTGATCTTCCTACGGTCAATGCGTAAACACATCCTTTTTCTCCCTCCGTACGGCAAGAACAGGAGCACCACAGGTCGACTCACTGGGACTTTCCCACCCTTGTGGTGCTGACTCACTTGGACTGATCCCACCCTTGTGATGCTGACTCACTGGGAGTGATCCCACCCTTGGCACTCTGTATGCTGTGCTCGGACCGCATACACACTTCCCCTTTGCGATATTACTTCTTTGAAGCGTCAGTCGCATTAGCAAGGCAATTATTCTGCACTGCAATGCCAAAGAGATCCTACCGGGGACCACTTGAACAGCTGTAGGTAGACTATGTAAGCGACTAAGGAGGACGGTGATCATGCCAGGCAACAGGCGAGAGCTGCCGAGTGTCAGAATCAGTGAAGCAATAGCTGCACTGCAGTGGAAAGCTTCCAGATTGCTGCCCTTTTCTGATATTGACTCATTGAACTCTCAGCCATAGCTGTGCTATGCTGCACAGGACAAGCAGCTTGACAGGCAAGTGCGTATCCTTGAGGCTTGTGCATATTTTACTGCAGGCAATCTTCCGGCTCTCACCGATGGACCAAATGAATTGGAATTACGCTACCGTCCTCACCAGGGTAGAATGTACGTTCATTGCCACTGTACTAGACAGAAAGTTGCGCCGGATTCAGTTATAATAACTGTATGTTCTATTCGGGGGAAGATGGTATGATGGTTTCATTGGCATTGAGTTGAGGGCTCTTCGGCTGTGATGTATTTTTGGCTTGTTGCATGCCAGTTGGTGTCGTAGAATGCACTTCCTGTGATGCCGCTGAAAAAGCAGCTACCTGATACACTGGCACCTCACGCCGTCACGCCCTGACAATTGAAGTGCGATATCTCTTGGTGTCGATGCCATAGTCTTCGTCAATCCCTATGTTTAGATGAGTCTCCTTGGCCATGTTGGGAGGGCTTTAGCATATTTCCCCAGGATTACCACGGATGAGTTTATAGCAGTATATATATTATATGGTCTGTATGTCGCTTAACAGCATGTCAGATTCTTTATGTGACTACCCCTTGCTTTGCTTCTGCTATTTGCTGGATGACGCAGAGTAGGATGGGGTATTTCTTTGTTTATACGTTGGATCCCTTTCTGTGCAGTTGGTGCTTGGCTTTATTTTGTGGTTTATGATATCAAATGTGGATGATTTAGTGACACCCCTCTCCCTCTTTCTCTCTCTGTCTCTCATTCTTTCTTGCTTTCTCTCATTTCTGTCTGGTTTGTGCTCTCTTCTCTCCACATTATGAACTGTTCTTTGACTTTGTCTCCCATGTGCGTCTCTCTCTCTCTCTCTTCCCTCCCCATCTGTCTGTCTGTCTGTCTCTCTCTCCCTCTCTCTCTCACCTCCCCCCTTTTCCCTCCCTTCCTCCCTCCATCCTTTTCTTCCTCCCACTGCCTCCTTTCCCCTCATGCCTCTGTTCATCTCTGTTGTTCTTTCTCCCTTTCTCCTCTCTGCTTGGGGACTGTGCCCTTTTTCCTTTTTCTTCCTTTAAAAAGGTTGTTCATGGGTGTTGCGAATGTGAAGGTCAGGAAATTCATGTGATCGGCCATGGCTGGGACAGTTTCCATCAAGCAATCTCTTTGTCCACTGCAATATTCTGCCATGGAGCATGTGCGGGAGGTTGGCAGCAGCAGGATGGCGAGTGGGACAGCAAGGAGTTTTGTGATAAGCAGTGGCTGGGAGCGAGACTTTGGCTTGGGAAAAGGGTGGTGCCATGGAGTGGTTAGGTCAAGGACGACATCTTGCCTGAAACAGCTACAAGACCCGGAAAGGAGATGGCTTTGCGCGCTATCTCCTTTTTGTGCTGGAATAAGGAGCAGTGTTTGTCCAATTCAACATGTTTTAGCTATGTGTAGATACAGATTCAGATCTGAATGTGCCCTCGGAGGGCGATGTGAAGTTGGGCTCACAAGAAGGAAGGAGAATGATGCATTGTGTGGATATCGAAGAACAGAAGGGTTACAGAAGTGTCAAGGGAGAGTGGGAAGCAATCAAAGAGAAAATCAAGGATGCGAGGAAACCCGGGAAGCCGATAATAAGGATGATGTGGAAGGACAGGCGGTCGAGGAGGAGGAGGAGGAGGAGGAGGAGGAGGAGAACGAGAGAGAGGTATCGACTGAAAGAGGTGATCAAAGGGAAGATGGAGGAGGGCGCCCTGAGTGTGCGCAGACCAGGAAGGGGGAAGAAGGGTTGGGGAAAGATGAGGGAGGAAGAGGAGGGGAGGAAGAGAGGATAAGGGGAAGAGAGGAGCGTGCAGAGGAAATCGACGGGGGTAGAAAAGAGGTACTGGTAATGGACGGTGACAGGGAGGAGTTGAAGGGGGGACCGCTGCGAGCCTCTGGTTCCAGAAAGGAGGTCGAGAAGGGTGGAGGGGTAGAAGAGAAGGATTTGGGGAGGGTCAAAGGGGGGGGAGAGAAGAAGAAGAACCGTAAGCAATATGAGGCAATCGGTAAACTGCCGAACTTGTTTGAAGGAGCCCTCGCGATAGCGGCCGCCGAGAAGGCAGGATTTCCTCTTGACGAGAAAAAGATCCATCCCTTGCTCAGGAGTAGGGAGGCTCGCGAGAAACTTATTGCCATCTCGCAGAGGACAAGAGAGTCCACGGGCCTCCACATGGAAGAGGGACCGGTGTCGCTAGGGAGTGAGAAAGATGGTTGGTGCGCGTTATGTGGAGTGAGAAGTGGGTGGATGATGTGTGGTCGTTGTGATGGACAAGGAGTTTATCCATCACTTCGTGGTCTTGCAGGAGTAAGTGAGAAAGTAGGAAATGTCCGGTGCAAGAGCTGTTATGGAAGAGGCATCGTACCTTGTCTCCTCTGTGGAATACCCGATCCGGCCAAATGGAGAGCTTGGCAGGAATTTGCCAAACGACATCCACGCAAGCTGAGTGACAAATACGGTATTAGCGATGACACCGATCTGGAGAGCAGTTGACTTGGACAGTATTATGTCAGTCTCCTCGTGGATGGCCACAGTGCAATGTGTCCCTTCCCTGTATTGTTGCACCTGTTGATGAAATAATTATGGTTTGCTAGTATTTTAACTTTTCCAAATGTCTTCGTGCTAGCAATGCAGGCATGCATGTGCGTGTGTGTGTGTGTGTGTGTGTGTGTGTGTGTGTGTGTGTGTGTGTGTGTGTGTGTGTGTGTGTGTGTGAGAGAGAGAGAGAG